CGCAATAACGATCGCCATCAATTCCGATTCTGATAGCAATCAGGTTTGAATACACAAAAGAGTGAATTCCCAGATTATTTGATTTTTAAAACAAGTTTGCCATTTACTTAACATTTCTGTAATATTTTGAGGGCTCCGGCGAAAACTCGGCTATGGAGTGTTTGGTTGGGCGTTCCTTCCTACCCCGCGGTACTGGCATTTTAAAGCGTCGTCCACTCATTTCACTACTAATTCATTGTCCACTGGACGGAAGAGATAGGCAAAATAGGGAGAGAGTTACATACGTGGAACTTTTACAGCTGAATATCAGCACAGCAGCAGCAGTGGGTGCGGAGAAAAAGCGGCAGAAGGGGAGTAATGCACCAGAACATGTAAACGAAAATGGTGTACACATGTGTTGCTTCAGCAACAGCACAACATGGGTCTAGTGCGCAGGACCTGCCTAATGAAGTGAGTAGCAATGCACTTTTTTCCTAGCGCATGTTGTAATGCTTATTTTTTTTACATTTACACAGCTCACATTCTAGGGAAACCGACGATGTGGACTTCAGTCCCGACAGCAAATATTTAACAACCATTACGAAAGATGGTCCTGGCTTGGGTTAGCTCTGGCGAGTATGAAACCACATCACCAACATCCAAATCGAATAGCACAACAAAAGCCACAACGATGATGAAAATAGAGTCAGCCACTATGAGCTCAACATAATCTTAAATATTTCTATTCAAGCCGGCTAATTATTTTATTAAAGTTACTTTATTTAAACAGCACAGATATAATCATAATCATTATAAAAGTATCTTTTATTTAATTAATATTTTCATTTAACCACCGCTTAGAACTCAACTTTTATGAATCGTAAAAAAATAATAATAATAAAAATTGAAACTCACGTTTGTAAACAATAACTGTAACTTGTAACTCACCCGAAAACTCTGTCTTTTTATGCACCCGTATATAATATTGTATTATTATTGTAAATATAAATAACTAAAATAAACCAAACGTCTGATTAAACTCCCTAGAAAAATTCTGAGTATGCAATTATTATTGTGTAGTGTATTTTATTGTAGGTATTCAGATAGTTACAGTTTTGAAAAAAGCACATTTGTTTAACTATTATCTAACATTAATAAAATAGCTTTCAGCAAATGAAATGGAAAATGGAAATGGAAAATGGAATGAAAAATGGATATATGAAATTAAAATTAATTTAGATTCATAAACTCACAGTCCATATATTTTTTTTTTTTTTTACTTTACTTTACAAATCACAATTCATTTCTCTTAAAAAGTAAGTGGCACTTATATATCACTTTTTGACTTTTGTATTTTTACATTTTGAAATTCAGGGTACGAGTTAAGAGCTCTAACAAATTTTGATTTCTCTAAAATATAATTTTACTGGACAAAAGTTCCACTGAATTATAAGTGGCTTGCTCAGTATTGTATCAGTCAAATATATAGATAGCTGCTGTGCTTTACTGACTTAGTAATAATTTCATGTGGCAAAAAGTGTGCACTCAACCATCGACATGTAGGCCCATCAGAATTAGCACTGCGTCCGTGGCGGAGAAGTATCATACTGATTTGTTTACACCGACGCTCTCATTGTTGTATCTCTTTACGTTCTGTGCGACATGTCATTTTTGTACACGGACGCAATGTGCTCATTCTGATTGGTCTAATAGTCAATACTTAATAATATAGTTATACTAGTCTTTAGTTGAATAGTTTTGTTCCTCTTGTACTTCTTCATGCTCGTCAATCTGCGCTTGCATAACAATATCAGTGCATCGACGCATCACTAGCGCTTGGTTAGGCTTTTTCATTTTGGAAATGGCAGAACATATCATTTTCCCAAAACCACTTATCTCCGCACTAAACCCTTCTCGATTACCTTTACGTGCACATACCTCCTGGAAAGTTTTTACGGTATCCAGTATTGCAGTGTCTAACTCGTCATCCTGTGCGGCTCCTCGCAGATGGAATTGAAGTTGACTTAGGAGGTGACTGCGCAGGGGAAATTTGAGGTGACTGCGCAAGCAAGGCGGAATCGCAAAGTATGTCTAAAATTTCGCCACTTACATCATTTGTTTGCAATGATGGCGCACTTTGTCGCATTCTGTAAAAATACTTTCGTCATAATCCTACTCAATATTATAAATGTGAAAATTAGTATAGTTGGTTGAGGATCAACGGGGGGGAGCCGCGATTCATGCTAGTTGTTACATATGTATGTATAATGTTAATGGATGTTACTTACGGTTTAGGAATAATATGACTTCTTAGAAACTGCAGGCTGTCTAATAGCACTCACTGCCTTCCCAAAAGCGCGCCACTTCCTGAGGAGGAGTTTCTAATTTCCTTGCTGAAGCGCTCTCTCAAATTTCCCCACCGCTTCATGACAATGGATTCTATTAAGAATATAAAAACATCTTATAAGTAATAACGCTCAACTAATTTACGTTTACCATTAACTTCCAAACTGTTGGCAACTTCCAGCCAAGCTCGTCTTTTTTTCTCCGGGTTCTTGAAGTCTGTATGACTTTTATCGTACAAACAGGGACAGCTCCGGACAGACTCAATAAGCTTTTCATCATCCATTGCTAATACTCAAATACTGAACGCGGAAAAACTGAATAATATATTAACACCATGAAAATGAAAGGCACGGGCGAAAAAATACAAATTAAAACTTACATAATGAAAAGTGCAACAATTCTTTTTTTTTTGCGATTTGAGTGGGGTTTTTCCAATATACATCGTTCATTCGAGCGCCAGGTTATCCCACTGCTTGGTGTTACACATGAATGTGACTAAATGAGGAAATTGAGATCGTATGTCTTGTGAAAAGATTAGTTGCAACAGGATTAATTGTAAACTGCACCGAACGCGAAAAAACGAAACAAATTAGACAATATACTGAAAAAATAACCTTTTGCAAAGTGACGCGAAAAATAAAAGCGCAAAATGACGCAATTCAGATATCAGCTGTTTATGGTTATGGCGGAAAACCAAAATTCAATGGGCCTCTATAGCTATGGCGTTATGGTATGGCACCACTAATCGAATACAGTTTTGCCCATAAGGTTGGTTGGAACAGTTGTTTTATATAGTTATGGTTATGTCACCACTAATTTAAGCGTAAACCTCTCACGATTTCCACGAACTTTGTTCCAGAATGATCGCATACGAGTGCTAGACCGAGATGAGCGCGATGGCTTAAAAACTTGAGAGTTCTGGAAGATTTTCTCACGTGCTTGTTCGTATTCAGCTACGCGAATATGATATGGCTTAAATGGACTAGTTGTTTTAGGATTTTCAGTTTCGGAATCTAAGTAAATTTCAGGAATTGAGTCTGAGTTATTTAGTTGGCGTTGTTCACCTGGTTCGGTTTGCGTGCACTCGTCGGTGCACTCCCTTGCAAGTTTTTTGGCTTACTACAGCTTGTGCAAGTAGGCTTGTAGGTATTTGGTTTCCCACATCCGTAGCAGAAAACTTTTCGCTCCCCTAAGCATTCTTGGTAGCGGTGGCCAGGTTGCGAGCAATTCCAACAAGTTAACGTAATAGCGGATACTTCGTTTTCGGTGGGCATAACGAAGGTACTTTCCTCGTTATTATCAGGGATATCAGATTCACTGTTAATTTCAGTAACATATTTCCGTATGGGGTTTTGCCTTGTTATATGTGTGGAATGTCGTCTTTTCAAGTCGTCCAAGAAAAACTCGCGCTTCCTACGAACTTCTCTTAGACGAGAAACTGAAAAAATTTGAAGATTAAGGAATTCATGCTGTATTTCAGGTAGTAAGTTTCTGCGTAGTATCTCTACTAACGATTGCTCTGGAATAGGTTCTGATAATCGGTCTATTATCTAGCATATGGAATCATAAAAAGAATCGAATGTTTCGTTTGCCCTCTGCTTCCTCTTATCATTTCGCGATAATCTACATCAGTACGAGTGTCATTGTATTGGAGGCGTAACGCATTGCACAAGTCTTGCCAACGAATGTTACGTGCAGCCTTGTGATAACGCCAAAACCAATCGCTTGCTTTGCCATCGAAAAGTGAACTGACGTAGCAACATAACAGAGAGAAACTTCCGCCAAGAGTTTGTAATGTTAAGGCTTCCACGCGATAAATGAAATTTTCAACCGAGAGACCATCTGTGCCCCCCGTGAATTTAACTTTCCAGTTATAAATTATGAGACCGACTTTATCCGGTCTAAAAGACAAATCAGAATCAGCTTGATCTCCATATTGTCCAAGATGTGTGGGTACTTGTTCGGTATTGACAGTTGGTGGTAAGCCAAGCAATTGTTCAAACGTTTGTTGCTCCACGGCCGGCAAAGTCTGAACTCGAGAATTGGTGGGGAAAGCATTGTTAGTTAGAGAAGAAGCTTGAATGCTGAATCTCCTTAACCCTGCATCGATATTAGTCTCGACAAGTTGCTTGATTTGCTGGCTTAATTCAGTAAGCATATGCGCTTGTTGTGCGCCAACCGCTGCATTCACCAAATTTTGAACCTGATCTGGAGAGTTCCGTGGCGACTTGCTTATTTGTAAAACGCTAGCTGCGGCCGCGACTGTAGCACTACTATCGTCGGCGTCTAGCGGGGGTACAGAATCAGTCCGTCTAGGTGTTTGGGACCTGGTATTATGGCCATGGGAGACAGTCTTAGTAGGCGCTGTTGTCTTGGTTTTATGAGGAGCGAGCTTCGTGTAACAAGCTGGGCAAAAATCCTGCGTTTGTGAGTATTTAAAAAGACATGACTTATGAAAGGTATGGCTGCACACGGCGGTGGCCAATTGAGACGCGGTACTAATGTTGGTTTTGCATATGTGGCAGTGCATTGCACTTGCTTGACCTGCTATCTCTTCTGTACTACCTTTGACGGACATTGTTTAGCTTGATGACTTGTAACGAATAATTTATGGTGATAAAGAGATGTTGACAACAATATCTAGTTCGGTTTGGAAGGGCGGAAAAATGTTGATTGTCAACCAAATATTTGTACAATTCATTGATTCCGGTAGCTGATCGGTAGGAGTGTTACGGTACTGTGTGGGAGGTGAAAAAATATAGGCTGACTTCCAAAACGTATCAATACAATGTTTGGAAACTGTTATACTGCGGTATTCAAACTATTTTTATATGCAGAGTTGCGACACATTGCAACCATATACATTGCATATTTTAAATATTCAATATAGCAATGAAAAATTTTTCTGAATTTTCCATTTCTAAAACACCAATACTAACCAATAACAAACGAAGCATCAACTTTGTTTCGGGTGCGCTGATTGCTCGAGCGATGCGTTTCGATAAATTTTCGGCTGCGTTTTGGAACAGTATACATTGTCAATATTTTGTAGTTGGACGTTTTGGAACCTTATACTTTGTACGTATGCAAAGCAATTGACGTTTTGGAAGTCAGCCATATTTTCGGCAAATCAGGAAGACAAAGCTGGAAATAGAATAAGAGTGAAAGGCTAAGATTACCTTTCTCTGGTAACTAGTTCGACTAAGTCTGTATATCTTCGTTTCCCAAACTAGAAAGTTCCTAAAGAAAGAAATATCGAATTATATCTTAATACGCAGCCAGTGGGTAGTTCGAGACCACACCTCCCGTATTTCCAGCGTATTTAAAGAAAATAATTAAAAGACAACTGATAGAAGACAACGAATAGTTAGATACTTTTTTT